ATGCTCTCAATGTAGTGTGAAATGAGTTAAATCTCCTTGGTATGGTATGCAGTGAGTTAAATGCACTCAGTTTAGTGTGCAGTGAGTTAAATGTTCTCAGTGTGGTGTACAGTGAGTTAAATGCTCTCAATGTAGTGAGCAGTGAGTTAAATCTCCTCAGTGTGGTGCACAGTAGGCTAAATGTCCTCTCTCAGTGTATTATGCAGTAAGCTAAATGCTCTCAGTTTAGTGTGCAATTAGTTAAATGTTCTCAGCTAATTGTGCTGTGAGCTAAATGCCCTTAGTCTAGTGTGCAGTGCCTTTAGATTACTTCAGTTCCAACCATGGGAAACAGCTCTCCCCTCTGACACAGCAAGTTGTATATATAGGATAAAGGATCAGACTCTCATTAATCTCACAGTAGAGCTCTGATTCTGAGCACCTGTCTGTGTTTTCACTTAAGGTAATATAATAGGTGTGATTAGTCCATGGGAAATGTTTAAGCACAGACATCACCAGCAATTAAACAACTGGTCAGGTCACACAATGAGACATATTACCTAGAGGCCAAATGAGCGAAATTCTGGAACTGAAAAAGACCTGTAGGCCTCAGGACATATTTACTAAACTGGCCACTGTTTCAATTACTCAAACTTAAAAGCTGACATACTTCCTGAGAACAGTGTACAGAGCAACTACTTACCCTATTCTTAGTTTATTGATGCCGAAGTCCGCTATCATCAGCAAGCATAGAGATGAATACAGTTTGAACGGAGATTTCCAGACAAGCTTTAAGTGTAATTTGAAAGAAGTCAAGCACTTTAATTAGAGTTCAACTTGAGCTATTCACCAACTACTCAATAATAATGACAAATCCTTGGGTCATTCTGATTTAACATGTATGATGGTTCAAATGCTAAGATATGAAAAAAATGTTTCTAAATAAGTACCCAGCACTACAGAAACGGTGTATATTACTACTTACCTTGAGTGGGAATTATGGTTCTAATGTATTGATGTGTGTTTAGGAATTAATTTTCAGAGAGCCCAGCATTCTTCCATGAGGTTCTGTTTATTAAAGGAACATTCAAGTAATAAGAATTCAAATTTACATTATTATTACTTTATTTACATATTTCCAGGCCGAGGATTCCGCAGCACGGCCTCCTTCAGCATGGTCAAATCCTATATCCATTATACAGGAGAACTGAGCAGATGCGTGGTAAATGCAGCTTGCACATCCAAGCTTCCCTGTAGGTGTCAGGTTGAGGAAGTAACCAAAACACACAGACCCAAGACCACAACAGAAGAGAGACTAGCCATGTACCGGTCCTTAGAGTGCCGGGCTAACTGTCTGAGTAATCGCTGAGGTCAAAGATAGGAGAAATACTAGTCAAGCTCAAAAGAGTACAAAGGTCAGGAGAAATGTTAAACATGCGAAGAGTTGGATACCAGAATCAGAATAAAAATAAAAAAAAAGAGCAAAAAAAAACAAGTCGCAAGAGAGTGCTGAGGACGGACAGCAGCTCAAGTAGCCTGCCCTTCGGTGGATCCCCACTCAGTTCTCAAGCTGGTTTTAGCTCATCTTGTGCCATTACAGAGAGAACCAGACCATGCATCTCAGACTGATTGCACCCAAAAGGGCAGAACAGATCCAAAATACAGGCTGGCTCTCTCTGCACGAGGGACACAGCAACCCCAGACCATCGTTTCAGCCTTGTTAGGCATCATCAGTGAGGCATAGCTGATATCTCTCTAGGCACCGTGAGCAAGGGGTCCACGGCTGGATTACCCTTTAAGCTTAAGGAGAGCAAAAAAAAAAAAAAAAAACAGGCACAACTTGTTTCCTATTGACCAATATCATCTTAGAGTTCCATAGGACTCATGGACGGTACAAAACCATATGAGGCTGGTTCAGGATGTTATTTGGACCCATATTCAGAGGCGCATAAAAGCATTCGGTGAAAGAGGGTGCAGCTCTGGGAGAATGCAAGAGGATCCAGGTAATCAAACAGCAACCATGGCAATAGGAAAACATTGAATGCTCTCCTATATGGGTTTCTGTGTCATGGCTGTGACAGAACCATCTGTCTGCTTATTTTAGGTGTATTCGTCTGTTTGTATCCCGTTCGTATGAATGGCTGTTTTCTATAGCCCAGCCATTCGAATGACTCTTTTTCCCGAACAAACCTGCCGAACGGACGGCCATCCAGGAGAGAAGTGTGCTGCTGGTTAACCTATTGATCCCAATTAGAACGTTGTGGTTAACCGCAGACACTTCTCAATTAAACCGAATTCAGGGTGGTCGTCGTTCGTATGTCGACCACGAAGCAGTGGCCATTTTAAACCACGCGAAAGCCCAGCGGTGTTCGGCTCTATTTCTATGGAACTAAAAACGGACACTTTTTCTGCCGAACACCGCTGAAACAACGGAACGCCTGGCTGTCTCCACGAAAGCATACGAATACCGGCCGTTCAGGAGGTTTGGAGCATACGAAAAGACTTAACCCAGATAGCCTTCCCATGAAGTCATTCGTATACCGAAAGACTGTAAGAACTTTGACTCCATGGCGATTTAACTATGTGTGTGGGATCTGAGCGCTATTCGCTAATAATATGCACTCAGGCTATCTGGGGATATGTGATACGAATGGGAAATGTTCGGTTATTTGAAAGTTATACATTTTTATGTCTTTTATGATTTTATATTTAAAATGGCGACTGGCTTTGTCCTGGAGATAATTGAGTTACTTGGTAATTATCTCCAGGGCAGAGGGGAGGGAATCATAATGCACTGTGGGTAAAATCTGTGACTGTGTGTCTGGAATGTCCCCATATCTGTCTGTCATTTAAGTTTCCCATTTGGTCCCCTAGGGGAGTGTCCACCAAGTGGGAGACCTGCATAAATACGGGCAGATAGCCCACAGTAAAGCCAGTTCCTGTTTGACCCTCAATGCGTAGCTTCTGTCTCGTTATTGGGGGGATTTCTTCTTCACGTTTAGAGACTGCTGGATGGAACGAAAGCCGCTTGGTGAATATTGTTGTTCGGCGGCTAGCAGCAGTTCGTGTATTGCCGTTGGGAGTTTGGAGCCGTTCACGGATCTCGGTCGGGAGATTGCCGCTTCCCCTGCATTTGGTTCGTGCACTACAGGTTAGGCGAACGGAGTTACTGATATTGCAGCCGGGGAAGGTCTACTAAACGGCGGTTTTGCCTAAAGACACTGGAGGTGTCTTAACAATGGCTTTACATGGTCAATGTGGAAATGCATCTAGTCCCTATCTGGCAGACATCCACTGGAGGAGTGTTTAACCGTTCAAGGCAAACATTGCCATTTCTGCAATGTTTTACCTTGAACGGTAAAAAAAAAAAAAAAAAGACCATGTCTCCATATCAGACGCTTTCCTATATGGGTTTCTGTGTCATGGCTTTACATGGTCAATGTGCAAGTGCATCTAGTCCCTATCTGGAAGACATCCACTGGTGGAGTGTTTAACCGTTCAAGGCAAACATTGCCATTTCTGCAATGTTTTACCTTGAACGGAAAAAAAAAAAAAAAAAAGACCATGTCTCCATATCAGACTCGGCGAGGGAGCTGTGTCCTCTTTGCTCCCTCGCGCCGCGCGCCGCGCGCCGTTTCCTGATGCCGGGAGCCAGAATATGACGTCATATTCCGGCTCCCAGCTACTGTAGACAGCCCGTGCGGCGACAGAGAGCAGAGAGCACACAGCTCCCTCGCTGCGTGTGATATGGAGACAGGCGCCCGACCCACTGGACCCCAGGAACATGTCCACGCCAGCTCTCAAGGTAATGAGGCTGGGTGGACATTTTTTAATTCAAAATTGTGAGTGTGTGTGTGTGTCTGAGTGTGTGTGCTTGAGTGTATGTGTGCGTGAGTGTATGTGTGTGAGTGTGTGTGTCTGTGAGTGTATGAGTGTGTGTCTGTGAATGTACGAGTGTGTCTGTGAGTGTCTGTGAATGTGTGTGTGTGTCAGTGTGTGTGCACGCATATATATATATATATATATATATATATACACATATATATATATATAAATACACACACACACACACACACACAAGTGTATATTATTTTTTTGGGGGGGTGGGAATCTTGGGATCTCCGGATCTCCCCTGTCGGCTCACGCAGAGCTGGCGCTTTCTGAGTGCTGGCTCTGCTCTAAGCCTCCATGGGTCGGCGGGGAGATCAAAGATCTACCTCACTGGCCCACAGCAGCATGGAGGGAGGCAGAAAAGGACCCGGGGAGCTCTAGACAGCAGCTCCGCCAGGTTCCTCTCGCAAGATCTGAGAATTGCTGCGGCAACGCTCAGATCTCGCGAGAGTTAACTCTAGCCCCGCAGGCTAGAGTTCACTCTCCACTGGACCACCAGGGATGGCACATGGCAGCAAGGATCCCCGCTCCCTACATAAGCTAAGAAGGGAGGGGGGATATTTACTAATCTGCCCCCACCTCCACAATCCCTCCAAACATACAGCACACACACATACAGCAGACCTCACACATACAGCACACACACAGCACCCTCACACACAGCACACAAACAGCTCCCACACACATACAGTACACAAACAGCACCCTCACACACACAGCACCCTCACACACACAGTACACTAACCGCACACAGCACCTTTACAAACACACAACACCCTCACACCACACAGCACACAAACAGCAACCTCACAAACAGCACCCTCACAAATACACAACACCCACACACATCACACAAACAGCACCTTCACACATACAGCACCATCACACACACACACACCACACAAACAGCACCCTCACACATACAGTACCCTCACAGAGCACACTAACAGGACCCTAACAAACACACACAAACACCCTCACACACAGCACACTACCAACACCCTCACACACAAACAGCACCCACACAAACACCCTCACCCACATAGCACACTACCAGCAGCCTCACACACACATATCACACTAACAGCACCCTCACACACACATCAGACACTAACAGCACCCTTACACACACAGCACCCTCACACACACACACACAGCAGTATATGTATATATATATATATATATATATATATATATATATATATATATATATATATATATACATACATATACATGCAGCGTGTGTTTGTGCTTTAGGGTGCATACCAATGGCTCTTTAAACACCTTAAATTAAACACATCGAAGTGGTATTTCACCCAATTGTTGACGGTAAACTTACCTAGTCTACTAACCTTCCCATACCAGCAGTCTTACTCAGGGACGTTTTAGCCGCGAGGCAAACAAGGCATTTGCCTTGGGCGGCATTTTCCAGGGAGCGGCAAAAAAAGCCGCCCCCCAAATGCCCAGGGCAAATGCCTTGTTAGCCTCGCGGCTAACTGACATGCTGGGCTGGGCGGGCGGCTAGCGAGGGAGCACTTCCTCTGAGCTGTCTGCTCAGCTCCCTCGCGCACCGCAGACTGAGGCTGGGAGCCAGAATATGACGTCATATTCCGATTCCCAGCCTCACTCTGAGGCGCGCGAGGGAGCTGAGCAGAGTGCTCAGAGAAAGAGCTCCCTCGCCAGCTGCCTGCCCAGCGCCCCCCGACCACCCAGCAGCCACTGCTTTCAAAATGCCCCAGTTATGTTGTGTTGGGCTTCCGCACACTATGTTAGATTATTGTGGCGAAACCAACCTCGCCACTGTGAACTGGAGAAGCCTGGTTGCTCGCCTGCTCCCTTTGGACTATGGCCCTGCAGGTTAAACCATTTATTTCCCCTGCAGAAAGGCTTATTTGTGTGATCTGAGTGCCATTCATCTAATAATGTGCACTCGGATCCCAGCTATCTGGGGATATGTGAAATGTCTGTGTGTTATGTGTAAATGTGACTTTATGTATTTTAAAGTGTTTTGTGTCTTTTGCAACCATGTGCTTAATGGAGTCTTGTGTCTATCCTGGGAGATAATTGAATTACTCTCCAGGATAGAAGACTCTGAAACTGGTTTGGGCCAGAAAGCCATGCTTCATTTAGTCACAAAGGACTTTCCCTTAACTTTTGAACCCCTGGTCTGATTCGTGCCATTTTTTAATATTGTTCCCCTGAATGGATTGATTATGAAAATTTATGTTTTATGTTTGTGACATGTATATTTTAGAAGTTATAAATATTGTGTAAAAACTGTATTCCTCTGCCGGTGATAATGAGATTACCCATTGTGTTCAGTAATCATATCACCTGCAGAGGAGAGGATTTGGTGTGGTAGTGTCTGGGTGTATTGTACGGATTGATTGGCTGTTTGGTAACGCCCTGTGGGCTGTACTATGTTTGTGGATTGGGAATAAAAGAGACTGTATGTGACAGTACAGAGAGTTTCTGCTTGACCCTCAAACCGATGTGTCGTCTCGTTTTTGGGGGGAATTGGATTGTATGCTGACTGCCAGGAGTGTAAGCGGATTGTATGCTTTTCCTGTTCGGCTGATTCCAGTGTCCGTGTGTTTCCAGTTCAGGAGTTGGTGAATTCGTACAGTTTGCAGTTCGGGAGTTTGGTGCTTGCAGTAGCTGCTGGTCTATGGGAAAGGGGATTATCGCCTAAACGGTTTTTATCCTCTTGTGAGAGAAACGGTACGTTACAATTGGTGGCAAGCGGCGGGATCATTCCCACAGCCCAGAAGGACAGCTACAAGACAACATCAATTCCTCGATTACAAATTGAGGGCAACGCTAGTACCGTACAGCGACCCTATCTACAAAGGAACCAACTTCGGCAGAGCAAACATGGCGCCCAGCTACACTCAGGAGGAGTTTGACAGAGAGTTTAAATCACGGCTGGCTCTCTATGGATCCTACACCCCTCGGAGGAGTCCGTGCAGCGCGTGAGGAGACATGTAGCAGAGTACCTGCAGGTCGTGGCAGATTGCGCCAAAGGTATCGTCCGCCCTCCCCGGCGGCAGTGTGTACCCCAGGGAGCTGAAGGTGCCGTCCTTCCTCCCCAGCGGCAGTGTGTATCCCAGGGAGCTGAAGGTGCAGTCCTTCCTCCCCAGCGGCAGTGTGTATCCCAGGGAGCTGAAGGTGCAGTCCTTCCTCCCCAGCGGCAGTGTGTATCCCAGGGAGCTGAAGGTGTTGTCCTTCCTCCCCAGCGGCAGTGTGTATCCCAGGGAGCTGAAGGTGTCGTCCTTCCTCCCCAGCGGCAGTGTGTATACCAGGGAGCTGAAGGTGCAGTCCTTCCTCCCCAGCGGCAGTGTGTACCCCAGGGAGCTGAAGGTGTCGTCCTTCCTCCCCAGCGGCAGTGTGTACCCCAGGGAGCTGAAGGTGTTGTCCTTCCTCCCCAGAGGCAGTGTGTACCCCAGGGAGCTGAAGGTGCAATCCTTCCTCCCCAGCGGCAGTGTGTAACCCAGGGAGCTGAAGGTGCCGTCCTTCCTCCCCAGCAGCAGTGTGTACCCCAGGGAGCTGAAGGTGTCGTCCTTCCTCCCCAGCGGCAGTGTGTACCCCAGGGAGCTGAAGGTGTCGTCCTTCCTCCCCAGCGGCAGTGTGTACCCCAGGGAGGTGAAGGTGTCGTCCTTCCTCCCCAGCGGCAGTGTGCATCCCAGGGAGCTGAAGGTGCATTCCTTCCTCCCCAGCGGCAGAGTAAGTCCCAGGGAGCTGAAGGTGCAGTCCTTCCTCCCCAGCGGCAGTGGGTATCCCAGGGAGCTGAAGGTGCAGTCCTTCCTCCCCAGCGGCAGAGTGTATCCCAGGGAGCTGAAGGTGCAGTCCTTCCTCCCCAGCGGCAGTGTGTATCCCAGGGAGCTGAAGGTGCAGTCCTTCCTCCCCAGCGGCAGTGTGTATCCCAGGGAGCTGAAGGTGCAGTCCTTCCTCCCCAGCGGCAGTGTATATCCCAGGGAGCTGAAGGTGCAGTCCTTCCTCCCCAGCGGCAGTGTGTATCCCAGGGAGCTGAAGGTGCAGTCCTTCCTCCCCAGCGGCAGTGTGTATCCCAGGGAGCTGAAGGTGCAGTCCTTCCTCCCCAGCGGCAGTGTGTGCCCCAGGGAGCTGAAGGTGCAGTACTTCCTCCCCAGCGGCAGTGTGTAACCCAGGGAGCTGAAGGTGCCGTCCTTCCTCCCCAGCGGCAGAGTGTCCTGCAGGGAGCAGAGACCGTCAGTCTCGCACCCCAACCACAGGACAAAATAATGAAAGGGGAGACAGCTGGTCCCCCTCTCCACCAGCAGAGAGAGTGTCAGGGAGAGGAGCCTGATACCCCTTCTCCCCAGCGGCAATTTACAGTTCAGAGAGAGGAGCTTGTTACACCCTCTCTCCAGCGGCAGCCTAACCCAGCAAGGGGAGATGTTACACCCCCCAACAGTGCAGATGGGACTGTAGTCTCTGCACTTACAGCACAAGGGGTAGGGACAGTCGTCCTGTTCCCCAGCCACAGAGCGGTGTATCCAGAGGGGAGACAGTCGGTCTCTCCCTCCCACAACCAGGCTCCCACCAGGCTACTTCCGTGGTAGCACTGGCATCAGGGCAGAGTACCGCTGGTCTCTGCCCACTCAGCAACCACCCATGGCAGCCTAACAGTTGCCCACACAGTCGTGGTGAGGCACCTGGACATGGACAAAGTTCTCCTCTACCCAGGTGTAGTAACCAGTTATTGTGGGTGGGCTGTACTGCTGTTTCTGTTTTGTGGGTGGGTTGCTGGACTAACCAGGGCACTGACCGGCAGGGGGTCAGATACCCTGTTAGTCTAGTTGGTAAAGGGGAGAAGTGTGGCGAAACCAACCTCGCCACTGTGAACTGGAGAAGCCTGGTTGCTCGCCTGCTCCCTTTGGACTATGGCCCTGCAGGTTAAACCGTTTATTTCCCCTGCAGAAAGGCTTATTTGTGTGATCTGAGTGCCATTCATCTAATAATGTGCACTCAGATCCCAACTATCTGGGGATATGTGAAATGTCTGTGTGTTATGTGTAAAGGTGACTTTATGTATTTTAAAGTGTTTTGTGTCTTTTTGCAACCATGTGCTTAATGGAGTCTTGTGTCTATCCTGGGAGATAATTGAATTACTCTCCAGGATAGAAGACTCTGAAACTGGTTTGGGCCAGAAAGCCATGCTTCATTTAGTCACAAAGGACTTTCCCTTAACTTTTGAACCCCTGGTCTGATTCGTGCCATTTTTTAATATGTTGTTCCCCTGAATGGATTGATTATGAAAATGTATGTTTTATGTTTGTGACATGTATATTTTAGAAGTTATAAATATTGTGTAAAAACTGTATTCCTCTGCCGGTGATAATGAGATTACCCATTGTGTTCAGTAATCATATCACCTGCAGAGGGGAGGATTTTGTGTGGGAGTGTCTGGGTGTATTGTACGGATTGATTGGTTGTTTTGTAACGCCCTGTGGGCTGTACTATGTTTGTGGATTGGGAATAAAAGAGACTGTATGTGACAGTACAGAGAGTTTCTGCTTGACCCTCAAACCGATGTGTCGTCTCGTTTTTGGGGGGAATTGGATTGTATGCTGACTGCCAGGAGTGTAAGCGGATTGTATGCTTTTCCTCTTCGGCTGATTCCAGTGTCCGTGTGTTTCCAGTTCAGGAGTTGGTGAATTCGTACAGTTTGCAGTTCGGGAGTTTGGTGCTTGCAGTAGCTGCTGGTCTATGGGAAAGGGGATTATCGCCTAAACGGTTTTTATCCTCTTGTGAGAGAAACGGTCCGTTACAATTATGTACAGGGTCAGGAAGTGCGTCCACCACTTTGAATCTGCAGTCAACAGTACTTGTGCAGTATCAGCTGCCTGAGATCGTCGGCGGTATGATGATTCAGCCAGTGGAGACAGGGATAACCTCCACTGGTTAAAAAAGGAGGGGGAACAGCTCTATTTAGTTGCTGTGTTGAGCTGTTTGATTCAGCATAAGGAAACTTGACGTATTTCCAGCTACACTGATTGAAGGCCGCAATTTGCCGCTGCGGTTCCCGGTGGCTACAAGCCTCTTATCTGGTATCACTCGATTTGTTAGGGTGCCCCCTGTCGGCTCTGCAACATGGGATATCACCGCCAAACCTCCTGGTTTGCAGGAGACTTGTGCAGGACATGATTTGTTCACTTGCAGGTCAGGCTCCACAAACCCCAGACTAACCTATATTGTCTGAATGTTACGGGTCTGTTACAATTTTGGTTTCCTTGTAGGGTTTTAC